AAGAAGCCCCAACGCCGACCAGGCGTTTGACACCCCTGGAGCCAAGCAATCCCGAGGATCGGTTTGGTGGATCTCGCATTTTGGCCTTTTTTTTTTCTGATTTTCTTTGATCTCCCCTGCTTGTTGCTTCCTTCACTCGTTTCGGTTGCCCTGGTCTTTGTCATGTCTTGATGGAGGCAGAAGGCTTGAGCCGATCCTTGCTGGGCGTGGGTTCGGTTTACTGAGGACGCACGCGTCCATACCCTGGGCAGACAGATCGGAGCGCCGGCAGGGACGCTAACGTTAGCTTATCTCTAGAATGGGGTACCAGGACGGACGCTTGGGAATGGAATTGGCGAGTCCCCCAATGACTCCCCCCGGCGGGTTTCGGGGGAGTGGGTTTGGGACGCGAGCCGGGATGGTCGGGAGTGCCGGATTGTCGGATGGCCGGACGGACGGTCTTGAAAATCATGGGTGACCCCCCTCTTTGAGCGCGGGGTTATTGTCTCTGAACGACGTAACCGGCTGAGACACTGGCCGTGGGACTGGACAAGCCATGCTGGAAGAGACCGGATTTTCACGGGCCCGGAACGGGATCGGTGCGCCGGTCAACGCGGGGGAGGGGAAAACCGCGTAGCGGGGGACGAGTGAACGGACAGGGCGAAGAGGCGGGCTCGACTTTTTTCCCTCACCGCCATGAAATCTCAAATTTCTTCTCGGGTTTTTTTACTCAAGCTCGCCACACCGATCAGCCCGATACCATCCGAGCCGGCTCAGCTAAAGACGCGCCTCGACAGATCCCGACCCCCTTTCTCTCTCTCTGGTACCCACTCAGTTCGCCGCCCGCCGGCTCCGAGCGGCCCCACCCCCAAACAACCTGCTCCCGGCACCGGAGCCCGAACGGACCCCACTGGACGGAGCAGGGAACGGGAGAGAAGCCCAGGGGTGGGTAAGGTGGAGGCAAGAACTGTGCGAGGGGGAACGAGAGCGCGAGAAGAGAGGGGCAAGCAGGCGGGTGAAGCAGGCAGTCAGCCGGTGAACGTGAAAGGGGGGCAGCTTCCGGCATCTGGCCGGTTCTGTTTCCCACGGGTTGTGGGGGATTGGGGGTGTGTCTCTCTCTCTCTCGGAATTAACGCCCCTTGCGGTCCAGCCCAGTGTGTTTCTCCATCACGAGGCCATTTTGGGTATTGTTTACGGCCGGCCGAGATCTCTAGCGGGGAAGAAGAGAGACCATAACAAGAGCACGGACGACAAGGCGGCGCATAGGCATCGCCTCTTCCTTTCGGGAACCTTGGGCTAGCCGCGCGGGAAAGACAAACCACAACCCCGATAAGAGAGATGTAAACACCGCACTGCCCGGCCCCGCGCCTCGGAAACGGGGGTGCAGGATGGAATTACACTGTCCTCCCGAGTCCCAACGTCCATCGTAGACGCAGGGAGCAAGCAGCAGACGGTTCAAGCAAGCAAACCAACGGACGACCAAACGGACCAAACACGAACCAGATACACGCAGCTGCGCCTTTCTTCGAACCGTGCCGTCCAACTGCCTGAATTTCTACTTGTTAACCGCTCGTTCGGGGTGCGGGCTTCTCACCTTGACACCGTCATACTGGACCAGAAAGACCGCTGTGAAGGCGCCTAGGTCTCGGGTTCCACGCCCCTCGTTTCCCCGGACAACCCGATCATGACCGCGTCTGAGGCTCGTTCCTCGTTCAAATCATCCCCGCCCACCGACGGACAAGCCGATGAGATGAAACTGACCGACTCCATGGCCTTTGTTCGCCTCCCGAGCAGAGCAGGGAGGTAGGCTAATACAAGCAGGCACCTGCGCGCATACTAGCTATAGTTATGGCCGGGGTAAGGTGGGTAGGTAGGTGGAGTCACCCCCGACGCTTTTAGCCCCCTCGGCAGCGTTTTATTTTTACTATCCTGATTTTAAAGTTCTGACTCCTTTCTTTACTCTCTTTTTCACACGCGGTGCGGTGTGGTGTGGTGTGTGGTATATTCAGGGGGGAAGAGAAATGCGGGCGGTGGGCGGTGGGGGAGGGGCGGCGTTGGTGTGGCTTGACCGCTACTTACAAAGGTAAAGATTACTGCGCACTTAGACGCGGCGTGAGGCGTGGAGATTTTGACAGGGGTCGTGGTGGGAAGGGGGGGTTTGGCCGCCCGGGAGATGGTTCCGAAGGTAACCTTAGGTGAATGTTCTTTGGGGTTCTTTGGTTCTCTTTTTCTGGTGTTGTGGTAGTGTTGATGCCCAATGGATAGATCGGTAAGTCGGTGATGAATGGGAAAGGGGATTTGTGAGCGGTGACATTTTCGATGTTGGTTCATTTGGAGGCTCGCCAATCAATTTACTATGTAGCAATGACTGCTTGGAAATAATGAGCAAAATACCAGTCCTCGAGAGGCTGAATTCAAATTCGGTTTCCTAATTAGGGTGGTTGTTATCATCTCTCTTGCCTCTTTTGGATATATCATCGTTGCTGCTGATGATGAATGGAGCTTGGGGACGCGCAAGGCCAGGGAGGCTGAGCAATGGCTTGAGGAGTGTGGGCTGAGCGTGGATGGGATAATAGACGAGTGACGAGTGAGGGTCACTCAACTAACTAGTGGAAATGGGGAAGGGAAGAGTGTAGGTGAGCCAACTGGCTCAGCTCAATACGGACGTGGGGTAGACAAGACTGGAGGAATGGGGTGAATGGGCTGGTTTGCTTGTGATGGGATGAGCGCGAAGGATGGGCATATGGTGCATGGAAAGCCAGCCAGTGCTGCTCTCGCTCTTGTTATTGTTGCCGTCGGATAGTACGAGTGCAGTGCAGTGCATTGCCGCAAGCTAGCTGGAATGATAACGATGATGTCCTTCTCGAAGATCCCCTCCCCGCATCAAAACAAAAGACCGTATATAACTGGCTAGATCGTATTATGTATTATGTCTCTGATGCCTCGTGTTGATGGGTCTGGGGGCCTGGGACCTATGAAACCTGGAACCTACACCGGAAAGAGAGAGAGATAGGAAAGGAAAGAAAGAAAGACATCATGATTAACGTCCAGACGTGCGGGGGACTGAGCCAGTCGAGAAAGACACCAGAATACCATCATAACAAACATGATACGAACAAAACAGACGAACGAGTGGGTGGATGGGTAGATGAATGGATAGACCCCAACCCGGCAGGCAGGCAGGCAGATGTCTCTCCCAAGCAACAAGCAAGGGGGCGATCACGAGGACAGTGGCAAACCAACGCCAGGGGGGAGCTTCTTCGGAAGGCGTGCGGATGCGGGGGTGAAGGGACAAGGGAAGAGGGGGACATAGCTGGCATCGCTATGTCGAATCAACGGCTGGACCGGGCTGTCTGGGCAAGGGAAGGGAAAGGGCTCAGGCTCACTTGCGCCGAGGGTTGATGGTCGAGAGCTTGTGTGGAGGTTTGTTCTGATACGTTGGACCGGACTAGGCACGGGCGGTACCTGGGAGTGAGGTACCGGCTGGTCGGGTCTTTTTTTGCCTTTCTCTTCCCGGGCTGTGATCATCTCGGGTTGTGATCATCCCGTGAGAGCGGGAGCGGGTGTGGGCGTGGGTAGTGAGTGTGCATGGGCGTGGGAGTGGGAAGTGAACGTGGGTGTGCAAGTGGAAGTGAGAGTGGGCAGTGGGATGGCGCGGGGATGGGGTAAGTGAGGCGGTTCCGGGGAAAGAAACACCAGTCAAGACGGTTTCCGCTGGGGCAGCTGATGTGATCTCCGGCTCGGCCGGCGAGTCTTTACCTTTCGGGATTGTTTATGTTTATGTTTTCCCTTTTTGGTTTCCTTTGTTTGTGGTCGACAGCGGGGAGTTACGGAGTGGAAGGGGGTAGAGGGGATCGGATCGTGTTCCGATCCGGCGGAGTCACGGCGGAGTCATGGTGGGCGTTGAAACGGTTCGTGTTGGGGGTTGTTGTGGCGAAGGACGCCTAGCTGGGCTGTTGGTCGGGAACGGGGACGAATATTACTCATGAGGGGGCGTTTTCTATCTGAAGGGAGGTTTTACTCCATTGGCGGGCTGGAGAAAGCCTTGTTGGGGGTTTGACATGATCCTGGCGCTTCGAGCGTGCATGTGTACCTAGGCATACAATATGTTTATTGCTTGAGTAGCTTTTGGGGGAAGGGAGAGGTATTGAGTGAATGGAATCATGTCATGAAGTTGTGGCAGGAGGTCGCGGAACGTGCGGGAGTGAAGCAGCATGAAACACCAAGGCGTGACTCGGTTACACATGTGTTGTGTGAACTCTTCTCTTGATTGCGTGGCCTCTAGGCAACGGGGAAGGGTGTCTATTACCCCACGGAGGTTGTGACCAGTTGCTCCTCTTCTTTGAGCAGGAGCTAAGCGTTGTAAAGTGAAGTAAGCGAAGTCCTTTATCCTAAACACCCAAACCCATCGTGTGACTAGGCTTTGTACACCCACCAAACCATCTAGACTAGACGACCGACCGTTGCATGCGGCTCTGGTGGTCACAAAGAGGGGAATATGGAGCATGACATCAACGCTGTACCTCCGTTGCACCAAGTTAGCCCATCCAGCATGGAAAGTAAGGCGTGAGAGGTTGCCCAGCAGATGCGTGGAACCTCGGTTCGCGTGTATCACCGGAATGCTTCAAACGCCCGCCATTCATCCATACACCCGTCCAGTCATAAATTTCCCGTGCTTGGGGGTACCATACCCGTCTGCCGTGGAAGACAACGCCAACGCTCCAAATTCATGTCGTGATTTGGGAAAGTGTCATTTTGTGCTCCCTCGGCCGTAACACTGGGGATGTCGTCGGAAGTCGCCGTCTGCGGGCAGCCGTGAGTTGTTATCGTTTTGCCATTCCCCTCATGGCTTCAGGGTTACCACATGGATGGCTCATGGCACCAGCAGTCACAACGTGATGCAGTCGTACAATAGTTTTCTTTGACATCCAGGATGGGTCGGCAAAGCTGCACGTCGATATGGGCGTTTCGAATGCCCCCTTTGGCTTTCTCGTTCAATCAGGCGAAACGGTTGGAGACAACTATGGCGACCCAAAGTCCCAGAGACTAACGAGCAAGCTATCAGTCTCCTCGGGGGAGTCACCAGCCTTGGTGAAGATCCTTTTGGGTATCATGTATTCGACAACAGGCGGCTTCTTGACCTCTTTGGCCATTTCCGCTTCCAACAACTGTCACATCATTAGCCGCCACCACCTTCCAGTAACTCGGATGCAAAACTTACACTTCCATAGGAGTGATCCAAAAAGTCCTCCAGACTATACGCCTGCTTGGTGAACTGCTCCGAGATGATCTTGGCAATCGTGGCCACATTGGGGTGGTAATGAGACTGCAGCTGCACAATTTCCCACAAACAGCTATCAATCGCCCGTGTCTCCATGGGATCTTTCTCATCCGGCAAGAAAGGGTCTTCCAACCCCTGGCTCTCGAGCAGATCCCTCTCTTCCTGCGTCCGTGGTACCCGGTGCATCATGAAGGTCGTGAGGGGGTGCTTCTTGAAGAGGTTGTAGAACCACGGCACGATGGCCACGATGGCGCTTGGCGGTGCGTTGAGTGCGAGCCGGGCTAGACGTTTGATAAAGCTTGCCACCATCACGGCGGGCAAATGTGACGAGCCGAGGAATGTGTCGAGGAGGCGAAAGAAGCGCGAGCGGTGTTTGGAGTGGAGGATGTCTGCGTCGAGCAACGAGTAGAGTTTGGAGAAGAACTCGGGGTAGTCGAGGTTGCGTTCTTGGATCAGGTAGAAAACACCCGACAGGGCGAGCAGCGAGATGGAACCGCCCGTGTTGTAGCAGTCGGTTAGGAAGTCCATGAGCAGTTCCGGCTGGGTGAACCAGGGGGCGATCGAGCCGGACATGGCTTCCAGGACCTTCTTTCTTTGCTCCTTGCTTAGACCGAGATGCATGAGTGCTAGCCAGGCCTCCTGCGCCCGCTTCTTGTGCTGGGACAAGGACCGCAGGGGGTGTTTCTTCTTCTGAGGCGGCTCGATGTAGAATTCTTCGAGGTCGTCGTTCGAGTCTGGCACGTCCTCCATGGAGATCAACAGCTCAAACACCGTGTCCCGGATTTCTTCGCTGACGTTGTGTTCTCGCTCGTTGATGTAAGCCCTACTGGCCGTTAGTGGGGAAACGTCCCGAGTGGTCGAGTTTAGTCAAGGGGGTAGGGGTATGGCAACTAACTTGATAGCCTCAAAAGTGTAATAGCGAATGTCATGATACTCATCAACAAACTTCTCCGAAAACTCCTCCATCACCTGATCAACAGGGGACTCAAGAATAGTGGCCACAATATCCGAGAAGAAATAGCGCGGAAAGATGGCCTCAGCCGAGTCGTTGAGGTGCTGGGCTTCGGCCTTCAGCAGGGCCATGGCCAGCATTAGAGCGTTCGACGCCAGCTTTGCGCTCTGGAACATGGCCAAAAGGGCGCGGCGGTAGTCCTCCAAGCGCGAGCGCAGCCAATTCGTGACAGTGGCATCCTTCTCCGACGCATCCTTCCGCTTCACTAGGCTGCCCGCCGCGAGCAGGCGGATGAAGATGCGACAGAGGGCCTCGGAGGCGGCTAATGCGGCTTTCGGCTTCTCATTGTGGGCTTGCGCGAGGTTGAGGATTGTCGCTATGTTGTTGTAATGCTTTTTGGACTCTTGGATCTCGGATTCAAGCCGCTCAATCGTCGTTTGGACATTGTCGTCGTCGTGGGTGTTTTCGGACTTCCTCTTCTTCTTGCTCACATCCCCATTTGCTGTATGTTTCCTCTTTCCTGTGGCCTTTACGCCGGAATCACCCACTGCTTCTGGCATTGTCAGGAGAATGCGACTACAACACCCGGGGTGGGATATCGATACTTCGTCGTTGCTGGTGTTGACTTGCAACTTTTCTTTCTGCGACAAAGATTCCATCCTTGAAGGTTCGCAAAATTTAAGTGGGGCCCTCTCAAATCGGCGGTATTTCAGCGGGGCGCCAAGGCCATCGCTCTTCAACCCACAACGGACCACGTGATTTCACGGCAAAGAGCCGGGCAAGGGTTTCCGTTAAAACCTCAATTCGCACTTGGCAGCAGAGAAGCTCCGACGACAACGTCAACCCCCGCCCCGTCACGCACCCGATATTCCACAACCCACAATGGCGTCCCGCTTGGCCCGCAGCGCAGTCGGTAAGTTGAAGCAAGGAGGCGAGGAAGCAGGGAGTCGTGGACCAATTGAGGCGACACGGAAAATGGGAAGAGTGGAGGGAAACGAGGGGAGGAGGATGAGGAAGAGGAAGAGGAAAGGAAACGCAGGGAAAAGAGAAAAAGAAAGAAAGACATAGGCTGACCGAGGACGGTTACACATCACAGGGGCCGCCCGCCTGCGCCCGACCGTCGTCCCGCGCGCTCTCCCAGCGATCTCGTCGCTCGTCACGGCCCGCCAGACCTCGTCGTCGACGACGGCCACCGTCCCCACGACCGACCCCAAGACCAAGGCGCAGTCGCTCATCGACGCCATCCCGGGCAACAGCCTGGTGTCCAAGACGGCCATCCTCTCGTCGGCGGCCGGCGCGTCCATCTACGCGCTCAGCAACGAGTACTACGTCGTGAACGAGGAGACGGTCGTCGCCTTCTGCCTGCTCAGCGTGTGGACTGCTCTCATCAAGTTTGGTGGCCCGCTGTACCGCGAGTGGGCGGATGGTCAGAACGCGAAGATTAAGGATATCCTTAACGCTGCGCGTGCCGACCACACCCAGGCTGTCAAGACTCGCATTGGTGATGTCCAGCAGATGTCGGGCGTCATTGATGTGACCAAGAGCCTGTTCGAGGTGTCCAAGGTGGGTTTTTTCTTCGGGCCTCTTGTCAAGCCGGGGCCGGTCCAAGTTTGCTAACCATCCTCTGTTTCTCTCCGGACAGGAAACCGCCAAGCTGGAGGCTGAGGCGTACGAGCTCGAGCAGCGCACCGCGTTGGCTGCCGAGGCCAAGTCGGTGCTGGACTCGTGGGTGCGCTACGAGAGCCAGGTCAAGCAGCGCCAGCAGAAGGAGCTCGCCGAGAGCGTCATTGCCAAGGTAAAGGCGGAGTTGGAGAACCCCAAGGTGCTGCAGCAGATTCTGCAGCAGAGCGTGGCGGATGTTGAGCGTATGTCCTTTTTTTTACCTAAGAATATGACAGAGAGACAGAGTCGCTAACACATCCCAGGGATCGTCTCTACCAAGTCGCAATAGACGGGCTAGTCAGTTGGCCAGCTAGAAAGAATTGCTACGCGAGATTCCCTTTGTACTAGTGTTTATACACACCTCTGTGCCAATATAACTCCTTAGTCTCGTACATGTATGGATTGGATCACGGTGACTCTTAGGCAATGACCCTAAGCTCCTCCTTGGGTTTAGATCGGATGACCCGCCGAGCCTCCGCTAGCTGAGCTCTATGATGGACGTCCTGGCGTGCCTAGGTCTGCAGGGTGTGAACACTACCTATGTCAAGCACTTCCTCTCGCTCGGCCTGTCTTGCAAGAAAATGAGTGCATGAACCGTTGTAAAGCCAAGCGTATTTAGAAGTGAAAATGAAGGAATTGCCGAACCCCAATTCCATATTTTACGATTTCAGCTAACTATTTTCATCACCGTCAATTCTCGCACTCCTTTAGAAGAAAGAGCGTCGGCGAGAGTGGGGCGCAGCCCATGAGCTCTCATCCCATGTCAGGATCTCAAACACTTCAAAGACAACCCACCCCGGTCATCACGACTTCCCCTCAAACGAAGAACCCGCATTTTATGACGATACCATGAAGCTTGATAAACCCTCACCTACACGAAATCAGGAGGTCATGATGTTGCAAATATGATGATTCATGAATGATCCGTGTCATTTTACTTATCGTCGATCACTTGAAACGCTTATCAGTTCCGTCTCGAGCATCACCGCCTGATTGAGAGGGATTCCATTACAGAATAACAACCATTACCCAGTATATCATCTCCATCATCACCGCCATCACCACCATCACCGACCCATAATCCCACCATCAATCCCATCAATTGAACCCAAAAACCCCCCATCAGAATACGGCAGAAAGATCCAACCGGGCCCAATGAGCGACCAACCCAGCTCAGGGCCCACCACCGTCTCCGCGCCCGACAACGCGGCCGAGCCTCACTCCACCACCGTCGCTCCCACGACCGCCGGTGCCGCCGAGCGCCAGACCAGCAGCACCGGCAGCACCGGCAGCACCCACCACCACCACCACCAAGGAGGAGGAGGAGGGATCCGGATCCAGGAACCGCCCGAGCGCCGGCCGTTACTCCCGCCCCGCGCGGCGTTTGTCCACGCGCTGGATGGGGACGTTTATTCGTGTGAGAGTTATGGGAGTATACCTGATAACGCGCGGCGGGGGGACGGTGGGAGTGGGAGTGGGAGTGAAAATGGGATTGGGAATGGAAGCAACAGCGGCAGCGGCAGCGTAACGCCAGCCCCCCACGCCCCCCACCGTGAATTACCAGTATACACCAACATCCACCGCATCCGCCGCGACGTCATCTCCGTAGTCGAAGACTACCTCTCCCTGGACCAACTCCGCGACGTACGCCTCAACATCTCCGTCATCCGCCCGCTCGTCGACAAGCTCTACGAGCAAGACGACATCTCCATCGTGTACTGCCTCCTCGTCAACCGCGCCCAGTTCCTCAGCGAGCAGGCGCATCTGACCAACCGGCAGAATGTGAACTTCACGCGGGCGATGTTGTGCGAGTTGATTGCGACGCGGATTTTGAGACGGTTTAATGAGGATAACGAGGGACCGAGAAATTTGTTGGTGTTGGCGCATATTTTGATTGCCGGGTTTGAGCCGTTCCAGAATGCGCCCGAGGAGATTAGACGGGAGGTGGGCGCATCGACGGCGCATCATCGGACGTTGCCGGCGTTGGAGGTGGCGATTTTGAGTGAGAGTAGGGTGTTTTTGGCTAGTACGAGTTGTCAGAAGATGTATGCCCCCCTTGCCTCTTCCTTTACACCCCGGATGATAAGTAAAAAGAGAGAGAGAGAAACTGACTTGCGCAGAGTGGACGCCATCTACGAAGGCCGGGTAGTCTACACACCCTCCAGCTTCATGGACATCATCCCAGACCGCTACAAGCAACGGCCCATCTCGCTATACAACCCGCGCGAGGCGCCCCTGCTCAACCACTACCGGCTCGTGGTACCCCGGACGCGCAACTTCCTCGAGATCACGCACTTTGTCGTGCTGCTGGTGCTGTACCTCGCTTTCATGAGCGAGCGTGAGGCGAAGCGGATTACCAAGCTGGAGGTGTGCTTTACCGTGTATGCGATGGGGTGGGTGCTGGATCAGTTTGCTACACTGCTCGAGCATGGATGGTAAGTACCTACCCTAGCTATGGGTAACTGCGTGTGGTGTGTTGTGTGGGTACAGCTAACAGAAACATAGGGACGTCTACGCGCAAAACCTGTGGTCCTTTCTAGACGTCACATTCGGCGTCATCTACGGCGTCTACTTTGTCCTCCGGCTGTACAGCTGGGGCGCGGACAGTTTCGAAGCGGGACAGCAGGCCCTGGATGTGCTGGCCATCGGCGCTCCCGTGCTGATCCCGCGGTTGGCGTTCAATCTGCTGTCTGACAATCTGGTGTTTTTGTCGCTGCGGTCTATGATGTCGGATTTTGCGGTGCTCTCGGCCTTGGCGATCTGGTGCTTTTTGGGCTTCTTGCTGTCGCTCGTCTGGCTGGGGAATGGACATTTTGGTGCTGGGTGAGTGGGTTTTTTTAGTATAAAATTTTACAATGCTAACTGTGAGCAGGACGATCAGCAAGTGGATGATTTACATCTGGTTTGGCCTGGATGGCTCTGGCATTTCGCGCTCGGTGAGTCCCTGTTTGGTATCACACTGGTTAAACCTTGGACTATAGTCGACTAATTGATGCAGGCCGACTTCCACCAGATCCTGGGTCCCGCGCTGATGATCACCTTTGCCTTCCTCGGCAACACCCTCTTCCTAACCATCCTCGTGTCCATGCTCTCGACCACCTTTAGCCACATCGTCAACAACGCCCCCGCCGAGATCCAGTTCCGCCGCGCCGTCATGACCCTCGAGGGCGTCAAAGGCGACGCCATCTTCGCGTACCCACCTCCCTTCAACGTCCTCGCCATCCTCGTGCTAGTCCCGCTCAAATTCTGCGTCTCCGCCCGCTGGTTCCACAAAATCCACGTCCTCTCCGTCCGCCTCATCAACCTGCCCATCCTCCTCGTCATCGCCGTAGCCGAGCGCCGTTCACTCTCCCCGCACAGCCTGTTCCCCTCCTCTGTCCTCTCGTCAGTCCCCAGCGTGTCCAAGTCGATCAACCACCACCCGGTCCTCCGCATCCGCCGTCGGTTCTGGGATCGCTGGCGGATTACCACCCACAGCGATATCTCGACCGTCTTTGAGATCGACCCGCCTGATTCCGTGCTCGGCGATATTGCCGCAGACGACGATATGACCCGCCACTTGATCCGCAGACAGTTCACGGCTGCGGCGCCGAAGCTGGATCCGCAGCACCAGATGCATGTGCATATTCAGCAGCCGCTACCACATCCGCGGCCTGGACTCGGCCCGTCTGCATCCTCCTCACCGGCCCTAACCAAACCTACCCAACCGCAGTCCCAATCTCAACCTCGCACCTCTCAACCACAACCCCCAACCCCCGGCCTAACCCAACACCAACACCAACAACCCCTCCCAACCCCAGGCTTCATCCCAGGCAGCTTACCCCTGGGCACAACCCCAACCCCAACAGCCACAACAACAACCCTCAAACGCCGCGACAGTATTGCACCCTTTCCCGGGTTGCGTGCCGAGCTGCAGGGGGTGCTGAGCGAGAGTGATGAAGTGAGTGATATTACCTCGAGGCTGGAGGCGTTGGAGGCGAGTATGGCAAGGATGGAGGGGTTGTTGGTTCGGTTTGTGGGGGGTGGTGGTAATAGAGCCGGAATGGGTGGTAACACAGATGAGATGGGTGGTGGGAATGGTGGTGATCACGGTGTGGGTGGGAATATGGATGATGCGGGGGTTGGTATAGGGTTAGGGATGGACATGAGTATGAGTAGTGCGGGTGATGTTGCTGTTGAGGATGAGGAGGAGGAGAATGAGGAAGGGGGAGAACGGGATAGGGTGCCGGTTGGGGGGAGGAGGAGGTCGATGTCTTTGGCCGAGTTGAATCGGGAGGCTGAGGAGGAGTGATTATGTCATCATGGGGGGTTTATTGATTAAGGGGGTACTACATTGCGTGGAGTTGGGGGGTGGAAAGGACTGCGTTGTTGGTTTTGGGGTGTTGTGTGCATAGCAAGTGTGGGGATAGTTTCTTGATGGTATAGAATATACAGCATATGAGATTGAAGAGGTTGTTAACTGGCGGGGATGTGGTGTTGGCATCTCGCGATGCTGTCAAAAAGGTACGAAGTATCTTTTCTCTCCGCTCCTTCCCAAATGTACACGATCACACTATACCCTAAACTTGCCCATCCACTGCATTCCGACAACCTCACGCACACCTCGTTCCCACCACCAAATTTACCCATCGCAAACTCAACACCAACCTCATTTCCCCATCAACCCACCCACAGAAACCATCCCCGACCAAGCAACGACACACCCAACCCAAGCAAAAACATCACAAACCAAACCCAACCCTAAAACCAACACCCATCCACAGAATTCAAACCGAGACTCACGCAAAACCAAGGGTTCAAAAAGAAGGAAGGAGAGCGAGAGAGAAAAAAGAAAATGTGCCTCGTAACCCACTACCGCGACTTCCACTGCAACCACCACTGGGCCGTCATCACCACACCGTGTTTCCCAGGCATGGGCTTCGACAACTGCCCGTCCTTTTTCGAAGGTCAAGCACACCCGTTGCCGAAACGGTTGGTTGCGCTTGGGGAGAGGTGTCCTAAGTGGTTTGTTTTTTTTTTTCCTTCCTTTCCTTTACCCGTTTTTCTGTCCTTGTGTGAGGATTCGAGCTTTTCTCAACAGTTCTTGATTGTTTGTGGGAAGGGGGTGTTCACTGACGTGGTTATTGCAGCGACCTCGCTAATGAGTATGATCGGAATCGGATTCGCATGGTCAAGAGGGTGTCGTATGGGGTTCGTTGGGGACTGGGGCCGAGTGAGACGGATCCGGGGTGTGATTTTGTGTGTTGTGTGATGTGAGCGTGGGTTGGTATGTTGAAGAACCGGGAGAGAGATTATGGCAGGGAGAATGGGGGTGTTGGACGATGTTGGGTTACAAAAATGGGAGATGTGGGAAGATTTGGTTGTACCGCGAGGTGTGTGTTGTCTTGAACTGATATTGGGTGCAAGTGTCTTCTTTTTCTGGAATTTGTGTTGGCCGACAGTGAAACCTGCTTAGTGGCCTAGTGACATATTAAAATTCCTAACTCGCGTTTCCATATAGCGCAGAATATTTAGTCGTGGTAGATTAGCTGTGAGTGGCATAATGATGGAGGTCGGGCACCCGGTATAGACTACATTTTGAAACATTGAACTATCTGCGAGCACGCCCACCTACACGACTAAACGTGTACACAATTAGGATCCGTCTCCTACATATGCTTTCGTGTGATTCTGAAGTTACTCACGGAGCTATGGTCTTTCGACAGACGTCCACATCAAACGCCCCACATTTATTTTTTCTGTTCCTGCCTACCTCGCTCACTCAACAACTCGCACCTTCTTGCCAAATCCCTTTTGCCAAATCGGTCAAAAGTGAAGCCATCACCACCATTTGCCTCTCTTTTCAGTTTTATACTCCCTTCTTCCATCCCCAAAAGGGAAACCCACACCCACGATGCTCCCCACGCCCTCCACCTCCCACGTCCCTTACGCCCGCGTCTACGAACCCGCCGAGGACTCCTTCCTCTTCCTCGACACCCTCTCCTCCGCCTCCGAAACCGCCTTTCTCGCTGGCCGTTTCTCCTCACCTCCCTCCACTACCTCAACCATTACCTCAACCACTACCTCAACCACTACGTCTACTACCACACCTGTTGCTAGTTCACCCACCCTCCTCATCCTCGAAGTCGGTCCCGGCTCCGGCGTCGTCCTCGCCTTCCTCACCGCCCACGCCTCTCATCTGTTTGGCGGCCGTCGGGATGTGCTGACGCTGGGGGTGGATGTGAACCGTGTGGCGTGTGAGGCGACGCGGGAGACGGTGCGGAGGGCTGTTGATGAGGCTGAGCCCGAAGCTGAAGAGACTACTACTAGCGCTTCCGATTCAGCAGCAGAACCAGAAGATAAGGAAGGGAAGCCCAAAGCAGGCACCGGCTACCACCTAGGCACGGCCCAAGGCGACCTCACCACCGCCGTCCGCCCACACTCAGTCGACGTACTCGTGTTCAACCCGCCATATGTCCCGACTCCTGACGTCCCGCCGATGCTTGCTAGCACCACCACCATCACCACCACCACCACCACCACCGCCAGCAACACCATCAGCAGCACCACCGGCACCAGCAGCAGCACAAGCAGCGCCTTTGAAGAAGACTCCCGCCTCCTCGCCCTTTCCTACGCTGGCGGCCGGGACGGCATGGAAGTCACCGATCGACTGATTGATGCGCTGCCGGAGGTGTTGTCAGAGCGCGGCGTGGCGTATTTACTGTTGTGTGCGCAGAACAAGCCGGAGGAGGTGAAGGGGAGGATTCGGGGGATGGGGGGAGAGGGAGGAGATGTGAGAGAATGGAGGGCAGAGACGGTGGGAACGAGTGGGAGACAGGCGGGGTGGGAGAAGTTGCAGATTGTGAGGATATGGAGGGATTAGGGGGGAGTTTAAGTGGTGATGGGGGGATATGATGGGGGTAAGGGGGATGGATGTCAAATGGTGATGAGATGGGGCTGGTTTATTCGTTGGGGTTGGTTATTATTTTAGCTGCTAGCGCCAATGGTTACATACATGCCCATCATATGCCACATCAAGCAGACAGACCCGTTGACCTTTTTTTCATTTTGGTTTCGCCTTTCCCTAGAACGCCAGATGTAGTACCGTTTGAAGTCTAGATCAATCGCCAGCTTCTGTGTCGACCATGCGGACTGGCATAACTTAACCAGTCGGGCCCGGTTTCCTTCGACCAGGATGCATCAAGGGCCATTCCTCTGGTTCACCAGGCCGTTTGCGTCCTCTCCTTCAGCCTAACACCCACCCGGTCAGCCCTACAACAAGGGCGTACCAATAACCACACCCTTCCGCTCGTTCTACACACACGGCAGACAAATGACCCAGCCCCCATTCCACCCACCCCAAAGTCTCGAGAGAACCCAAACAACCTTTTGTCTCCTCATTTATTAACCCCTCCCCCTCCCCCGTCCCCGTCCCCCCCTTCCCCCCCCACGTCCTCCCCGTCCACCACCCGCACCCCGATCCGCCTCTTTCCGTGCCTTATTCTTTGGCTTCGGCGCGTCATCAATCAGCAGGGTATCCAGCGGCAGCGAGTCAGGCAGGATATAATATCGGATGGTGCTGCCGCGAACATTTAGAGTCTCGAGGGGGATAGCGTCTTGGCCGCGGGGCGTCATTTTGACGTTGCGCAGGGCGGTGTTCATTTGAGGCGAGACGGAGGCGATGGTGCCGTGGACGATGGTGCCGTTTTTGAGCTCGATTGTGACGGTTTCGTTGGCGCATTTCATTAGGAATCTAGTACAGTAAGCAGAGGGTCAGTGTTGGGAGGATCTTGATGGTATCCGGAGGGTGAGATGGGTTGGGAAGCGTAGTATCAATCGACCGTCGCGATGGGCAATGTTTTCTCGAGCGTGTTCTCCCAAGGCAAGGCCGCAATCACGGTGCAGTGCTTCCTTCATCCTCCCAAACACAAACACCCCCCAAAAAGAAAAAAAAAAAATCAAAACTTACCTAACCAGCTTCATCTCGACGTACTCGTAGAGAGGCAAACGGCCTACTCCAACGTCAATGCGGGTTGAGGTGGCTTTGGTGGAGGTTGGAATTTGTTGACGGTCGGTCGGTGTTGGGTCGTCAACTTTACCGACTTGGATGGACCTCGCGCCTGCTTCTCCCGTTGATGGAAGGCTGGTGGAGCTCCCTGCGTTTTTGGATATGAAAATTTGGGTCACGTGCCGGTGCCTTGAAGCTTGGGCTTGAAAGTGGGGCTGCTCAGCTGCGCGCCCCGCCATGAGCTCGTGAGCTTTTGGCGTGCTTGGTTTCGAGATTACGGCACTCTTGGTGATTGATTAAGACAGGAGCCCACCCCGGGGCTTTAGCTAGCCTAACGGGCTCGTAGCATGTGGGAAGTGGTATTATGGCCACCATAGATGGGCTCCGTGGTATTCGAGTCACATCCGACCCAGTAGCGTAAACAACCACGAAATACCTCGGCTCTAACCAAAGCTTGAGTGACGCAACGCTTCTCGAGCTGTCATTTCGGCCCCCAAATCGGCCGCCGGAGTCAGAGAACCTCTCTCTAGACTTCTGTTGTTCCTATGTACAATGAAATCCAATGCCATGCCATGCTATGCTCCCCATACATAGTCTCGCCCACCCGCAGTTATCCTCAAAATTAGGCTGTAAATGCATCTATATCCACCTATTTATCCTTCTCATTCTCCGACACCTTCTCCCACTCATCCTCCGTGCTAACCGTGCTCCTCGACCCCTGACTCGGGCTCGGCACCTCTTCCTCCACCGCCCTGTGCTTCAGCTCCCCATGCGTCTCGGCCGCTTCCACTTCGGTGCTGACCGCCGCGGGGGACTCGGTCGGTACCTCGGCTACTACCGCAGCTACAGCAGGAGTCGCAGCCGCAGCGCTTTTACGCAAGCCCGTCTTGGGTTTGTTAACCGTCCCCTCGACCTCCGTCTCGCTATCATCCGACGACAATAGTCGTGGTGGTGACACCCGCTTCTTCGTCTTCTTCCTCTCCTCCGCCTCCGCCGCTGCCGCTTCTTGTTGTTGGTGCGCCTTGAGCTCGCGAGCAAACCAATTGATGGCAGCCCATAGCCCCCCTGAGAGGACCGAGAGGACGAGGAAGTGGATGCTGAAGGTTGCGTAGAGGAGAGCGGCAAGGATGATTTGTAGCGCGGCAAAGGTCGCGTTGGTCGCTACGAGAAGGGTTGGTGTTGGCCCTGGCGTGAAGATGGACTGCCAGAGGTCCTCAATGAAGGACGCCATGGTGTTTGGGTTGGGTTGCTTTACGGGGACAGGTAGTTTGGAATCGGTACAGGCAGTTTAGGATCGGGAACAGTTCGCGCAACGAGAGCCTTGCGAGGCGGGGGAAAAGGATCGATTGATCGAGCTTGTCGTTGTGTTGGAAGTACGTTGCACAGTATTGCGATTTTGCGCGCGGGGGTTCGGGAGCACTAAACTAAGTTGTGGTTCAAATAGCGCGCTGGAGGTAACAATGTCAGCGTGTGATCACGGGTTGGCGGAGGTGCGGTCATTTTAAACCGGCGGCCAAGACGTCAATTAAGTACAGATATCCTCCCCCGAAACGGCAGCCTGGAAAGGCAGTGGTTGACACGGTAGCGAATTGCGTAGACGTACCTTGGGGTTTTGGCAACGTGGTGTGTAGATTTGCGCCCAAACGACAGCGTGTCAAGTTACAAAGGGCCGGTACCTAGTGATGGGCGGATGAATGGGGGGGTAGGCCGAGATGGTCGGGCAGAGATGACGACGCGAACAAGGTCGGCAAGTCGGTTTGTACTTCCAACAAGGAAAACGGGTTACTTCGCCGTGCCAAGACTCAGGGTCTTGCGTGCAGCTGCTGCTGGAGCAACAGGATCCGACCAGGGCACTGCAGGGCTCCAGGGGTATGTAAGTGAGAGCAATGACGGGTCACAAGCGACTGTCCAAACACCGCCTTAAAATGAGCGCTCTTTATGAACAAGCGAACAAAGAGAGAACGGGAGGGGCCAATGTGATCTTCAATACATGACCAGGCGCAGTTAATATCAGGGTAGCGCGGCACTTTTTGCGCACGCGGGGGATTTGGGCCGCTGTTGCCGTTGCCCGCAAGACCCGATGCAACGGTGGGGAGGAGAGTGACGGACCAACGGACGTATGAGTACGACAGAGTGTCTCGTGAGGAGGTGACTAAAATAGAGCAAGCGAGAAGATGCTTCCTAAAGTGTGGGGGTTTGGAGGTCATTATTGTTAATTCGCTGAAAGAGAGAAATAGGGACTGTAAGGGAAGTTGCCCATGACCCCCCAAAGCGCGAACTCGCTGTTTTGGGCAATCACCGGAGCTTTGAGCCAACCATTGCGGGGACAATGACGTCCCCACCTAACCTGTCAAACCCCACCTTCCGCTTCTTGCCAGCTAGAAGTGCGGCATCTCCACTGCCTTTCTGCAGTCTTCTCACAACTAACCAGGTACCTATTGTACTTACATGTGTGTAAGAAGGGACTACCTTACCTATCCACAACATTAAACAATGTCCTGGAGCTCAGGGAGCCGGGGACCCAATGCCCACCACTTGACAGCCTTAAAGCGAAGGAACAGCCGCTCTATTTACGACACGACCTCGTGGGACTCGCCTTTATTTTTTTACCTCATCCATCCACCACATACCCAACACCCTTTGTTCTTACGCTCCGCCTTCCCTGAGGTGGACCTTCGTTCGCCATGGCATCTCAAGGCGGTACCCCGGATTCAGTCTAGGGGGCAGATCTCCCGCAGCCCACCCAACCGCCAGGCCCATGCAACGATAACCGCCCCCTAACCCTCCTGAGCCTGCCCATGGATATCCTTTGCCCCATTGTTTCCAATGTACGTATGTGGCCGTCCCTCTAGACCGTGAAGGCCGCTAACCACCCTCGACTCGTTAGATCAAAGCACGCAGGGACCTGGCAATGCTAGTACGGACTCACCCGGTGTTCTATGACCTAGTCATCCCGCGACTCTACTCCCGCTTCGAGCTCAATTGGCCAGGGGCGCTAGGGCATCCTGAGATTCGCGAGGAATCCGGCTCCGATGCATTAACCCGGGGCTTGTCGACTCTCTGTATCGGGAGCAGTTTTGCCCGTACCGTAAACAGGAGCCGTACCATTCCCGGCGAGCAACAACATCAACAGCATAGGCTTCCGGACAACGACTTTGCCAAGTATGTCAAAGAGTTTTCCATTCGCGAAGTTCGTGCCAACTAGAAATATGGCCACGACGGACTTCGAGGGAGTGGTGAGCTGTTAAGTATCCTCGTCGCTGGCGCCATCCGCAAGATGGTCAATTTGGAGACCTTCGTCTGGGACATACCAACCGGTGCCTCGTCTTGTATCTTTGAGGCCTTGTCCTCGCTCGCCCACCAGCCCGGGAACGACTGTAAATTAAGCAACGTATGGGTGCGTTGTGACGACAATACCATGCGCCGGAGGCTAGCGGGCCTCCCGGGTCATTCTGCGGTTTTCAAGAGATTCAATCCAGGTATCCATTCCATGACCTATCTTGGACACCTTCCAAGACCGCATGAGGACCTCCCGCCCCCCGGGGGGCCAGTTCGCTACTCTGAATACCATTGCGAATACCCGACCTTCAGCGTTCTCCCACCTCTCAAGAGGCTGACCGTCACCGATGTTGACGAGCTAGGCTACTTGGACGAGATGGCGACCTTCATCGGACGCTCCAAGGAGACCCTGGAGGAACTCACTGTCCGCATTTCTGAAAAGGCGTCATTCCAACATTTTGCGGAGCCGTAGGACGGCCAATCGACCCAGGTCGATCACCACGCGCAATGGCCAGGCGAAAGTACTATTGGAGATCGCCGCTTGGGAGGTGCTCTGGGCGTGCTGTTTGGCAAGGTTTACGACCTTCGACCACTTTCCAGGGCTATGTTACCCTCTGACGGGATGCCCTCTGCGGAGCCACTAAAGCTGCGAAAGTTTGAGTTTCAGGGGAATAAGTTTGTGAATAAGGTTTGCCGACATGCCCTTGACTGGTCCGTTTTGACCAGCCTCACCCTGATCGGCACCCCCTTTCTCAATCCCCTCTGGACTACGTTGCGTAATGAGTTCGGGCCCACGGTACTATCAACAGCAGAGGACACGCCGCCCTCCGACACTCCACGCAAATACCACCTCGCCCTCAAGGAAATACGCACCGACTTTGCGTGCTTCTCCTTGCTCAAATTCGTCAAAGCCACCCTTGCCCCAAACACGCTCGAAGCTCTGTTCTTGCATAGACTCTCAGAAGGCCGTGAATCCACTTCCGAGCTCAATAGAGAGCTTCATGGTGCGATCATGTACCACTCAGGTAGCCTACAGAAGCTTTATCTCGAAGGAAGCTACCAGCTGAAGCCAAATTTTGATTTTCCTCAGTACTTCCCCTTGGAATCTGAGCTGCTTTCCTATCTCAGCAGCGGGAGCATGGTGAACTTGCGCGAACTCTCACTTGCGCTAGATAACAATAATTTGGTACGTTTCCCTTGCCTGTTGATCGCTGGCATGTACTATTCTGCACCCAGAGCCATGGGGAAATACTGACCTCGCCCGCCTTCTCCAGAATGGCCTATATGCCCGTTTCAAAAACATTCCGGAACTGCGCGCCCTTCAAATTCAGTATGTCTACAACTACCCAGGCAGCCGCGCGGTGTGCTATGCCGGTGTTGTTCTGGACAAGATACTCGAACTCATCACGCGCCATCCCGAGAAGATGAAGAGGCTGCGTTATATCGGGTCAATGGGCAAGTGCTATGAGATTGGGGAGGAGCCAGTCCCGGAGGGGAGGCGGAGAACGGGAGAGGTGGAAGGAAATGTGGTTACGGAGGCCCAGCCTGATACTGGCGACGGTAATCCTGTTTCTGAAGGAGAGGGCGGCAATGGTGGGCACATTGACTTCTCTCCCCGGCGCCACACTTTGCCGGCGGGTTCTGGTTTGCGACGGTGGTTGGCCGGAGGCGGTGATAATGCCCCGGGCGGTGATACTGGCCCGCGCGGGCTAGAAGAAGCGGAACTCTGGGCTCCAGCCCTTACAGTGGAATACGGTAATGTTCTTGAGGGCGGGAGCACGTCCGGGGCGGCCAGACTTGCCACACTTTCTGAAATTGCAGCCCACGGGGGTCAGGATGGAATCGACAACCCCGACCGACAGGACCACGACCCCCAGCAGCAGCAGCAGCAGCAGCAAGGAGATGGCGATGGTCACCAGCAGCAGGAACAGCAGGAAGGGGATCACGGAGGCAACAACAGCGAGGTACACAGTTCTCACAAATGGATCAGTTCTTCTCATAACTTGCATGAGAAGCCGGTCGACAAAAGGGATATCGTGTACAAGTTGAGGAGCATCCAGCCCGGTGATAAACCGACCGTTTTCAAGGCGTGGGCTGGTGAGTTGGATTGAGGTAATTTGGGGAAAGCTTATCATGGCTTTTCTTTTCCTTCCCTCCTCTTCTCCATCCGACAGGACGGGTTCATTATGTGGGACAGCGGATAGTTTCAGCGAGTCTTTTCTGTAGAAATTGAGTTGTAGTGTTAGATAATTACACATTGTGCAGCGTCGTGCGTTCTGGAATCATCGCGTTATTGGAACCTAGGGTAGGTATTCACCACATGTTACGTTGTTTGTGTGGTGCTAATGGTGTTCATGGGATAATCCATATTTGCCAATCTCCTTCCCGGGCTGCCTCCTCGTCCATAGTAAACATCAATATAGAGTTCGTTGGTAAGGGTGCGTCTACAGTGTAATAGAGCCATGCGTGTAGCCTGCCGAAAAGGGGATCCTCGTTGATGAGACATGGAACCAGCGTGTTTTGTGCTCGAAGCTTAACTGTGGTCATTGTTACTTGCTGTGGTTGTATTGAGTAACTGTAAACATGTGGTAATGAGTGAAGGTAGCGAGAAGACAAAGGGCTTGGCTTGGATTGGGGGTTGATATGGTGGGTTTGAGACATTTGATTTACAGGAGTAAGCCATGTTTATGGGGGCTGTTGATAGGGGTACATGTCTATGAGGTCTGTTGATAGGGGTATCACAATGGGTTGGAGTAGGTTAAAGGGTTGAGACTAGGACAAGTATGTACTTCTTCTTTACAGAAGGAAAAGGAAAATAGGAAACAGGCTCAATTCCAAAATGCACGTTCGTAAAAAGAGTTCAGCTTAGTTGTTTACAATTCTACAAGGCGTATATCACTACTTTTTGTGTCTGAGAAAGCTGTGAGTGTTAAGACGAGTAGCATCACTGAACGTTTGGGTTGGGTTCGGCTCACTTTGGTAGTCTGCTAATGACATTCAGTTTACTAATGAGAGTACTTTTTTGAAGAAAAAGACTTGGCTAGATTTAAACAATCTATTCCATTAGCTTTCGGTATGGTTGAGCCGGATACGTTTGTTAGTCCAGCGCAGTCCTCAATCTCTCCCCTGATACTCTGTGAACACCCACGGCGTAGCGTTCCGGCCTCTTCCAATAGCAACAATATACATAACAACGCACGCATGACCAGGCCAACAAATCTTAGTAACTCACCTGGAAAGCGGCCATTTGACACAGATCACCCGGGAGAAGAGCATGCTGTCTCACGGCTCAACGACCCCTTAACTGCCAACTCACTCTCATTTCCTCCTCATCTTCCCGCTCCCTGAAGAGAGCAGAGCATAATCCCCCCCTCATTCTCCTTTACTAATCCCCCCCTCGACTAACTAGAGTAAATTACCCCCTTTCCGGGAACACCGGACCATTCCCCCGCGCACGCGCGTCACCCGCTTTACCCCCCGACTGAACAATCCCACGCGGGCAGAAATAGTACACGGCGGCCCCCTGAGCCCCTGAAGTACGGCATGAACAGTGGATACCCCCCCTTCCCCCCTGGACCTGCACTTGAACATGAGTACGAGTATGAGCCTGAGGCAGAGAGAGCTCAAAGTGGCAACACACACACATCCATCCCCAGCTACACTAGATACGGTTAACCGACCCTGCCCTGCCCTGCCCTGTCTGTTCGAACCCGTTGTCAATCAAGGTTTGTGCCACACACCTACCCACCGGTGAGCCATCCGCACACCCCACAGCTACTCACACCGGGATAGATGCTTCCGAGGGGGACTGGGGAGAACAGAATAGAGAGGCACGGTTGGGGGGTCTCATTGGCTTGGTCTTCTTTGGCTTTGCCACTGGGTTAAGCTGTCGGTTGGTTGACCTCATTGGTTTGTGGTTTTGGCTTTGCCTTTGGGTTAAGCCGTCGGCTGGCCTGGGTTGGTTTTGGTCTGGTAAATCTGGCTCAGGTTGGTCTGGGTTGGTCCCATTTGGTCTGGTCTGTCTAGTTTGGTCGGCCCAAGTTTGTTTTGGGTGGGACAAACTGGCCGACCTGGCCGACCTGGCCTCGCTTGGTTTGGCCTGATTTGACCTGACCTGGCCACTCTCGCTTTCCCTCTATCTCTCTCGCACCCTTCACTTGGGAGATCACGCCCCCTCTCCACCTCGCCTCTCTCTCTGGCCTCAGGCCAGCCGGCTCGGGAGGAATCCTTCGAGAACGGGTGGTGGCGGGGCGTGTGGCGTGTGGCCGAAACTTTAACGAGGTGGCTGTTGGATGCGCGCGCGCGCGTGTGTCTGTGACCTAGGGAGAGGGACGGGATAGGGACGGGATAGAGGGCTATAGCGGGGCTTATACGGGGTTTCTGTCTGTTTGAGAGTGCTGGGATTGGGATCGGGAGCTGGCTGGGGAGGGTTTTGATATGGTTGGTGGCTATAGGGGGTAGGGAGATAGAGGAATATGGAATGGGGATGGAGATGGAATTCGAAGAAACATGGCTATGGCTATGGCTATGGCTATGAGGGAGGACGGTAGGACGTAGGACGATAGGAGGGTAGGACAGCTGGACGGCAGGACTAGATTGTTCACTTGGGATGGATGGGCTTGGGGGAAGCTTGAGGAGAAGGCCGGCAGTGGCTTTGGGTGGGTGTGCCTCGTTTGTTGAAGCCAAATTTGCGGCGGAGATGGCCGGATACCCGTGGGTTTCACGAGTATGTGGTTCAGATAAGGGGCTTAACCGTGGTGGTGGCCATTGAATCCGTCTTGACGTCAAGAGGCACGTCGAGATGTCTCGATTCCCCATGATTGGGGTTGGACAAGGGGAATCAAAGCCCCATGACAAAGCCACCACCATCCTGTGACACTGAGGGCTAACAGCCCGCTGTGGAGGTCGGCTGCTAGCTCGAGACTGTCTCGAACTGAAACTACAGGTGGATCTAATTTTGACAAGAGACCGATGTGGCGCAGGTCGCCGGCTGATGTTTGAGCCCTATCGTCATCACCTTAAAGCTTCTTGTGAGATCTCCAACAGGTCTAGAAGACTGCGGAAGGGCTGTACAGGTGTGACGAGATCCACTATACTCAGGACTCATGAGACGGTGGATATGTTCCGTAGTTGTGTCTCCACCAATTCATCCTTCAAAAGAACTTTCGGGAATTTTTCTGGGCTAGGGTTGGCCGAGTCATAGAAGTGGTCCTCGAAAAGTGCCAACGCCGCTGCGTCAGGATTCGTCTCAAGCCGTTTTGATGAACCGTGCCGTGTTAGCGTGTCCCAAAGAAGTCGAGAGTCGGGAGTTTCTCTTTGCTAAACCCTAGCCATCCCATGTCCCGGTGCCTTTTCTTTCTCAAAATAGCTGGCAACCCTTGCTATGAGCTAACAACGGGTCGGCATCCGCAGCAGTGGAACACAAGGGTCAACATCGGATGGAGGATTGGAACCGGTGTTTCGACAACAAACATAGTGTGGAGAGGATAGAGAGAGCGATACGCTACACGTAGATAACACACCGGAATGTGGGAGAAAGACAGGCGAGTAGGACCATTAAGGTTTCTCAGCCACATAGAAATGCTCCTTCCCATGCTCGCCAATCTGCATCTCGGGTCAACCATCCGTTGATGTCGTCTTGTTGGAGTCGCGAGGAAGAGTTTATTGGTTTGTTGGTGCAGCTTAATGCAAGCCAAGGCGAGGCAGCAAGATCGGTAAAGCGAAGCGAGTCCAGAAACACGAACCGTCAATCCCCAGCCTCAATCTAGCCCCGGGCATGCACGAGTAACTGACCCCCCGTTTCCGGCATGTGTTTCAACCTCTCCATAGAACACGGCATGTGGGAGCCTACCGGCCAGCTACCCAGCCCCCTAACCCGCGAATAACCTTCCCATCGAACTAGTCGTCGATGACAAAGTAACAGCATGCATTTCCACGCGTTGTGTACAGCATACGTGTCTCCTGTCCTCGCTTGAGAAGCATGTCCCCTGTCTCTCCTCGGGCCGTGTACATTCCATGCCCCCTCAAGTTCTGTACGGCCCTTTTCCGGTCCCTGCAAAAGCCCATACATTTTGCTAAGTAGTCGATGCAATCCCAGAAAACGGGAAAGTCAAATGTTGTTGCCGGGTCTAGGATCCTACCGCAACGGCAGCTTTAATCAGGGACTTAACAATAACTCCGAACACGAACACACCGGAAAAAGGTTTTCCGGTTCTTCCTGCTTCCGCTAACGTTTAAAAAAAAGCAAGAAACAAAAAACGGTTACACTCCAAAGCCAAGTCGCGGCAGACCAGGGACAAGAATCCTTCGGTTAGCGGGAAGGATCACGAGGAAGGATTTCTTTGGGGAGAAGCCAGCAGCCAGCAGAAGCCAGCAGTACGATTGCTCCTTCCCATGCAAGGGCCCGTCCCTTTGCAGTTCCGTCGTAGTCCCAATCTGGTCCGGTTCAGTCCAGTCCAATCCAATGCATTCTGCTCCCCACCCAAAATACTGAATGGGCGATTGAGGGTTGGAGATGAGAGAAAGTTGGATGGGATCATCATCACTGGGCTTAATTCCCATCTGTCCCACCGCCATGATGGCGATCCCCTCGTGTTCGAACCGAACAGCCACGAATAGACGAGCTTTAGCCTTCCTTTCGAACATTGCATCTTGGCCTCCCAACGGCTTCATTCGTGGCTGATAGTCACAACGCAGGCCGTAGGAATTTTGGAGAGGGGGGGTCACAGGTTTCGACGTCACAGGGAGCTTGCCAAGTTATCCAGCACACTTCCTTGCTTGTCTATGATCCTCCCCTCGTACATACCTAGGTTCTGTACTGTGTAGCTGAACGCCACAGTACGAGCAGCCCTACGTAGCCACATAGTAGACGCAACGTTGTTCCCTCCTATGCAGAGGAAGAACCCCAGAATCCAGGACGATCATCTGAGATCATACAGACGAATGACCTCAGAATAGGGGCAACACACTTCACTACGACACTGCCCTTTCCCCAGCACCAATAGCCGTCATCATCAACAACCCCCTAAACCGCTTACAACCAACCATATCCTACCTTACCAACCTACCCAATCCCATCCCATCCCATCCCGCTCCCGTTCCCTATTCGATC